AGGTCGTGCCAGCCATTTTGATGTGGGCGGCTCCCCACAGAGGTCTTTTTGATATCTCAGAAGTTTTTTTCTTTTTTTTTAATATCTGTTCTTAACTTTTTGATCTTGGTGTTCATGGCATTGAGTCTTCTCCATTCTGAGTTGATTTTTGTGCATTTTTGCAGGAGTATCTCAAGTAGATTTCTTCACTGGCACCTTTTATTATTTACTCATCTTCGAAATCATCTTGCCTTGGCAGCAAGTTTTATTTTTTTCCGTGACACTTGCTGCCACCTCCAGGGGTAGATTGCCTTCCAGATACACTTAAACGTTTCACAACTGCTTCCTCTTCCTTTTCTGACTTTGCCTCTTCCTCCACAGCAGCTAAATGCAGTCCAAATGTGTATGAGCCCTGAACCGCACTTCAACCTTAAGACTACAGGTCATGTGATTTCAAAGCCACCAAGGGAAACTGTTGTCTATACAGACATTTTCAATATTGCCACCATTACTTTATCCGGACTGCCTTCATAATCCATTGTCTGTGCTTCCACAATGTGCAATTCATCCTTTATACCAGCCCCTAAAGTGCCTTTTCTTAATGATAACTGGTGTTTGGGGCCAGAAGGTGGTGTGGTGGTTAAGGCAGCAGCACTCACTTCCACATGGCTGATCACGGTTTGAGTCCTAAACCTGGCAGCTTGCTTTCTCACTTTCTTTCTCTCTCTTTCTCTTTATGGTCAACATTAAAAACAATAATAATACAATAATGACAATGAATAAGAGTTTTAAAAGGGAGATAACTGGTGTTCATTTTCATCATCATCCACCTTACAGTCATAACCTTTGTTGGCCTTTAATTCACAAATGCAAAGATAGTTCTGGGGCCTCAGGCCGCTCATGCCCATCTCCACTGAATCTTCTACGGGGTGGTGGCATGCAATTAGGCAGGAGGGAAGGCAGACAGAGATAAACGACTACTGCTTCAGAGGACAGGCAGGGTGGAATCACTCCAGGGAACTACTACTTCTGGCGCAGCGTCTCAGCACGGGAGCGAAAGAAGTATCACAGCTCACACAGTGTCACAGCTCTTGATGGTATGAAGGTTTCGCTGGTTTATTGAGGACCAGAGCACTTTCTTATATACACAAGGCAGAGGGAGGTAGGCGGGGTTTACAACAGACCTAATTGAGGACCTGTCAGTTCTGTCTGAACCAGGAGGTCTGCGTTCCTGGTGTATGTGTCAAGGTCGCACCGGCCATTTTAAGCAGTGAAGGTCATGGCAGCCATTTTGATGTGGGCGGCTCCCCACAGAGGTCTTTTTGATATCTCAGAAGTTTTTTTCTTTTTTTTTAATATCTGTTCTTAACTTTTTGATCTTGGTGTTCATGGCATTGAGTCTTCTCCATTCTGAGTTGATTTTTGTGCATTTTTGCAGGAGTATCTCAAGTAGATTTCTTCACTGGCACCTTTTATTATTTACTCATCTTCGAAATCATCTTGCCTTGGCAGCAAGTTTTATTTTTTTCCGTGACACTTGCTGCCACCTCCAGGGGTAGATTGCCTTCCAGATACACTTAAACGTTTCACAGCTGCTTCCTCTTCCTTTTCTGACTTTGCCTCTTCCTCCACAGCAGCTAAATGCAGTCCAAATGTGTATGAGCCCTGAACCGCACTTCAACCTTAAGACTACAGGTCATGTGATTTCAAAGCCACCAAGGGAAACTGTTGTCTATACAGACATTTTCAATATTGCCACCATTACTTTATCCGGACTGCCTTCATAATCCATTGTCTGTGCTTCCACAATGTGCAATTCATCCTTTATACCAGCCCCTAAAGTGCCTTTTCTTAATGATAACTGGTGTTTGGGGCCAGAAGGTGGTGTGGTGGTTAAGGCAGCAGCACTCACTTCCACATGGCTGATCACGGTTTGAGTCCTAAACCTGGCAGCTTGCTTTCTCACTTTCTTTCTCTCTCTTTCTCTTTATGGTCAACATTAAAAACAATAATAATACAATAATGACAATGAATAAGAGTTTTAAAAGGGAGATAACTGGTGTTCATTTTCATCATCATCCACCTTACAGTCATAACCTTTGTTGGCCTTTAATTCACAAATGCAAAGATAGTTCTGGGGCCTCAGGCCGCTCATGCCCATCTCCACTGAATCTTCTACGGGGTGGTGGCATGCAATTAGGCAGGAGGGAAGGCAGACAGAGATAAACGACTACTGCTTCAGAGGACAGGCAGGGTGGAATCACTCCAGGGAACTACTACTTCTACTTCAGAAAGCGTTAAGTGCAGCATGGGCATCTTTGACTGACTGTCTGGCAGGCCCTAGCTCCAAGAAGTGTGGAAGCACCTTTGGAAAAGGTCTTTTGGGCCTAGCCCCTAGTGGTAGTTAAGGTGGCTGGATCCTACATGGCTAAATTCAAGTCCTGAGTTCCGTACTCAGCATGAAAAACGCGTCAGGTGCATATGCATGGGTGCCCAAAATCTCCAAAGAGGAGAATGGAGAAGGGATTGCAGTGTGGCCAGCCCCCTTGGGGAGGAGGTGATTTCTCTCTCTCTCTCTTCCTCTCCAATAAGCAGACATGACCTCTAATAAATTATAAAAAAAAAAAGCCCTTTAATGAAAAAGTAAGTTCCTCATACTTCTAGTTTGCTGTGAGTTTTTATCTTGAATGCCTGTCAAAAAAACATTAAGTGCTTTTTCCACCTCTGTTGCAATTGTATCATTTGTTTCCTCTAACCTGTTAAAACAGTGGATTACATTAACTGATTTTCACAAGTTAAACCAAACCTTGCATTTTTAGGATAAATGTATGCATTACATTTTGGGGAGAAAGAATGTATTGCATTTCTGGGTTAAATGAGTTATTAATACATTTGTTATATTTGATTTGCTAATATTTAGGAAGACATTTTTGTACCCACATTTATTAGTTAGAATGGCTTAGGATGTTTTCCTCCTAATGTGCTTGTGAAATGAGGAGTGCTCTTTCTTTATTCAATACCCTGGCATATTTTGTGTAAGAATGGAACTATCTGTTCCTTCAGTGTTTGATAAAATTTGCTGGTGAAACCGTTTTGGCCTACTGTTTTTTTTTTTTTTCAACTTTTTTTTTTTTTTTGGGGGGTTTTTTGTATAGGGGACCTGGCGTTTCCCAGTATAGGGTACATGCGCTTGCCAGAAAGACAGAGAGACAGAGAGACAGAAAGTGAAAAATCACTCCCCAGGGGGGATGGCCACGCCCCAATCCCTTCTCCTCCATTCTCCTCTTCGGATCTTGGGCACACACGCACACGTGCCGGTGTGAGTTTAAGCCACTGGATCCGAGACTCGAACCACGATCAACTATATAGGAGTCCAGCGACATAGCCATTACACTAGCTGCTGGTCCCAAGCTCATAAGAGGAGCTCTTAAGTTACCCATGAGAATACGAGCTGTAATTTGGGTCCCTCTCTAGAATCCTATTATAGCCCAACATTTCTGAAATAGAGGGTATGCGTAGTCTAACAAATATGATTCTTCCCTTACCGAGACTGATCTGGCTACCACTAACCACTGCTGAGTACACACGCAGAGGCCAATGCAGCATCTTCATGATACAGTATTTCTCACAAAAACCAGAAGCATGATTGCTCACAGGAACACATACACACTCTAGATACCAGTGTCCCTTCCCCGCCCACAGGGCTTTTTCTAGCATCACCATTCACAGACTTACTTATTGCTACAAAACAGTACCTCCGAACAAGGAACTCATCTTACCGCAAAGGTAAGCAAAGGAACCCATCTTACCACAATGGTATACCACAATGGTATACCAATGGTCTCGAGGTCATAGACTTCACTGTTTTTTCCATGTCCCCTTCACTCAAAATCAGCTGGCTTGGGGCCAGGAGGTGGCATGGTGGTTAAGGGCACTGGACTCCCACATGGCTGACCATGGTTCAAGTCCCGGGCCTGGTGGCTTGGTTTCTCACTTTCTCTCTCTCTGTCCCTCTCTGGTCTAAAGAAAAATAAAGGGGAAAAAAAAAACTCTTTAAAAAAAAAAATCAGTTGGCTTTATACCATGAAGTCATAACGTGCTGCAAGATTAGTTTCAGCCCCCTCTGGGAGATAGCACCAGCAAGGTTGGGGCTCTCTTCTGCAGAACAGTGTATGCCAAAATATGCCAGTCAGAACCAAGGAGTGGAAAGAGGTCGGAGCAGACCATCTTACGATTACATCTAAGAACACTTCCAGGAAAGTTTTGCTACCACCACTGTCACCTTAGGTCCAGTAGGTTTGGAGGTTCTAAAACTCAAACACAGTCATGGTCCATTAAATTGTAAGCCAAGGCCATTTTGTTTCTTGGGCTGCTGAATCAATAGTTAGAATAGGTGGTCAGTGCGCTTGCTGGATGATTGTTCCTAATTATGAAGGAGAAATTGGTTTATTTCTACTCAGTAAATCAAAAAGAACTATGGGAAGCTCAGGGAATTCCTGGGTGGGGGCATTTTTAAATACTGCTTTGCCAATAGAATTGGATGATGGAAAAATTTGGCATTTCTCTAAAGAACTTCAAAATGCTGCTTAGGATGCCTCCCGAATGTTAAACATATCACTCCTGCTCACATACCTTTGGCCAGAATTTGGTCTCATGGCCATCCTTGGCTTAAAGGAAGGCTGAGAAATACCACTTTTTGTTCAAGTTGTTATGTGCTTCCCTAAAATGTCTATTATTGTATTATTTTTTTTTTTTTTTTAAAAAGGAGAGCATAGATATGGAGAGACAATCAGTGGTCTCTGCTCGGGTAAAAAATGAAGGGATGGATTAGAAGACAGCAACAAATCAACAAAATCTTCCTAGGCCGCTTCGCCTAGGAAGTGAACAAACTGTGAAATAGAATAAGAATATAGGTAACAGGAGAGATTTATCGAGAAAATAAAAACGGATAACCCTTTATTCACGATAAAGCGCACATCAGTTGTAGTGATACATGGAGACAGCTCATACCAGTTTTCCAAGCACAAACTGTCAGTTTTTCAGGGATGTTTTGAACCTGTTGATGTCATATAGTGAGCTTGCATGGCAGGACTATTCACCCTGAAATCAACACTCAGCTTAATGGTGCACTTCATGTTTTCCTTTGCTCAATTTAAAGAGCCACAGAGTCTTAAACTCTTCATTAAAAAAAAAAAAAAAAAAAGTAGAGCAGTCCCATGTTTTATTGCCTTTCCCGGTAAGAACAAAGAAGGAAGTATCAATAATCCCCCTCTAGGTTAGTGGAAAAACTTACTTGTAAGTTTTAAAAAATAGAATTCAATATAAACATTAAAAGTAAGGCAAAAAAAAAAAAAGAAAAAGAAAGAAAGAAAGAAAGAAAGAAAGAAAGAAAGAAAGAAAGAAAGAAAGAAAGAAAGAAAGAAAGAAAAGGATTAATACAAGCAATCAGAATTAGGCTTTTGGGGGCCAGCAGGTGGCATGGTGGTTAAGTACGTTGGACTCCCACATGGCTGATCGCGGTTTGAGTCCCAGGACTTGGCGGCTTGCTTTCTCACTTTTCCATTCTCTCTCTCTCACGTGCACACGCTTTGTCCCTCTCTGATCAAATTAAAATAAATTAAATTAAATAATTTTTTAAGAAAGAAGTAGGCTTTTCTGAAGTTTATCTCACAGAATATAGAAACAACTCAGAAGCCAGTTCTCTTAAAAGGCTGTATTGTGAGAGATACTGCTTTTCTGCTGTACACTAGCAAAACTTTCAAGGACACATAGAATATTCCAGCTTTATCAATTTTTTAAAGTAATTCTTTATTTTATTTTATATGTTATTATTATTTTTTAATTTGATCTGAGAGAGAACAGAGAGAGAGAAAGGGAAAGTGAGAAAGCAAGCTACCAGGTCTGGTCCTCAAACCATGGTCAGCCATGTGGGAATCCAGCACCTCAACCATCAGCTTTATCACTTTTCATAATAGACTGAGGTCTTTCTACTTGTAAGAAAGCTGTAGAATAAACAGATGTTTTCTTGCCCTAGAAGCCAGACAGAGCAGAAGATTATGGAAAATAGTTGGATCCTCTGCTCTTGGATTGATCCCGAACACGATGTTTCTTTCTAGGCCTGAAAATCGACGGACACTGTCAAACATGTCATCACCACAAATGGGTGCATCATTGATCTGAGACATTGTTCTCTTCCGCATTGCTGTTAGAAACTTATCTTTATATTCTTCTACTTCACTTGTTGTACTGAAAAGCACAATAATATCTTTGGGAGAATAACCATTCCTCAAGAAATACTGGCACTTCTCTGCTACATAGATCACCATATTCTCCAAGTCTAAATTTTCAGTCTCTAAGTTGCCCGGAACATCCAGAACCCATGTGGATTTATGGAGTATTTCCAGATACTCACGGGGGAAGTTACGTGGAGGGTTTCCCTTGACCATCTGCATTTCCTGTTGTAGGAAGCGGGCTATTGGAGTTGCATTACGGACTACTGTGGTGAGCTCTTCTTTTGGATACTGGGCCGAGAGAGGGGGAAGGCCAGTGCAAGTTAAGTGAGTGGTCTGAAAGTAGTCCAGAAAGATCCAGAGAATTCCTGGGCAATCTTTTTTTCTCTGAGAGATGTTTTTTGCCTTCTTATACCAATCGCCATCTTCAAGGCGGAAGTTCTGAGCTTCGTCGATGATGATGTGTTCAATCTTTTCACAGACATTTCTCATGAAGGTTTTCCGGGTTACTGCTTGGCAGATCTTTTTATTACTGTGAAATATAAGATGACACACTCAGGTGTTTTTCCTCACTAAACAAAGGAAGAATACTACTCTATCAGGCTCCCCTGGTCACAGTTCTGCTGTGACAAATCTTCTTACCAGCTAATTCTCAAGAAAAAAGGCAAATTATTTTTATTTAATCCAAATTAAGTATAACTTACACATATAAGATCCAACTGCTTACCTGATAAAGTTCCTCAGAAGCTGGTTTTCACAAACATAGAGAATTCTATCTTCCTTACACTTAAATGTATTCCTGATCTTCTCTATGATCTTCATTGCCATGATTGTCTTTCCCGAGCCAGGTAAGCCGTGGATGAACAATTCTCTGCTGTTGTCAAGATTCTTTGAGAAGAGCTCATACTGTTTGGCTGTTAACAGATTTAAAATCTCATAGCCAACCTGGTCACTCAAGAAAGATCTGAAGCTGAGCAAAACAATTACAAGGGACTGCAGCAAGGCTTCCATTTCCTTGGTATTTGCAAGATTATAGGACATGGGATAATCTATAGCAGAGTGTGAATCCTCCAAAGACTCTGGATTGCCCCCAGGACTCAGATGGAGGACCTTGGTCATGACACACACTCTCCCAGTGTATCCCCCAGTGTTCACCAGCTTCTGCTTCAAAGTAAAGGCAGTGCGAGTACAGTAGTCCTGCCCCTCTGCATCCTGCTCCCCAAGAATGGTGTAGAGAACGGGGGGGCTATTCAGCGCTACCAATAGACCGTCACAGATGACTGTCTGTTTCCCTTGCAAGTTCAGGTCCACAGCCCAGCTTCTAGAGAGGATCAAAATTCCCTGGGAGAAAGGATGCATTTGTTTATTTATTAACTCCTCCAGTCCTTGATGCTGTGCGGACAGTTCCTTCCAGAGCGATTCAGGAGTATATTGCAAATGTTCTGGTGGCACTAGATGTGGAAAAAAAATAGGAATTTTTTAAATGAGTTTTTATTCTTTTGTATGAATCACATAGTACATTGAAAACAGAGAGGAAAGCCCTCAATAATAATGGTACAATTTAAGAGAAATTCCTTCTGGTGCTTTTCTCCTTCACCCATCCCTACAAACCTGGTGAATTAAATGATGTTGCCTTCTCTGTGTTTCATGGAGAGCAGAGTGTGTCTATTGAGCCTAAGAAAGTGAAAACCATGCATTCAATTACTCTTACATCTCAGATTCTTATTGTGGAATGTTTAAAAACCTATCTGATAAGCAAATGCCTACAAAGGTCCCAGGTAATTTAAGAAACTTTAAGTAGGGACCAGCAGATGGTGTAATGGCTATGTCGCTGGACTCCCATGTAGTCAATCACGGTTCGAGTTTTGGATCCAGTGGCTTAAACTCACACCAGGCACGTGTGCATGAGTGCCCAAGATCCCGAGAGGAGAATGGCCATTTCCTTGGTATTTGCAAGATTATAGGACATGGGATAATCTATAGCAGAGTGTGAATCCTCCAAAGACTCTGGATTGCCCCCAGGACTCAGATGGAGGACCTTGGTCATGACACACACTCTCCCAGTGTATCCCCCAGTGTTCACCAGCTTCTGCTTCAAAGTAAAGGCAGTGCGAGTACAGTAGTCCTGCCCCTCTGCATCCTGCTCCCCAAGAATGGTGTAGAGAACGGGGGGGCTATTCAGCGCTACCAATAGACCGTCACAGATGACTGTCTGTTTCCCTTGCAAGTTCAGGTCCACAGCCCAGCTTCTAGAGAGGATCAAAATTCCCTGGGAGAAAGGATGCATTTGTTTATTTATTAACTCCTCCAGTCCTTGATGCTGTGCGGACAGTTCCTTCCAGAGCGATTCAGGAGTATATTGCAAATGTTCTGGTGGCACTAGATGTGGAAAAAAAAATAGGAATTTTTTAAATGAGTTTTTATTCTTTTGTATGAATCACATAGTACATTGAAAACAGAGAGGAAAGCCCTCAATAATAATGGTACAATTTAAGAGAAATTCCTTCTGGTGCTTTTCTCCTTCACCCATCCCTACAAACCTGGTGAATTAAATGATGTTGCCTTCTCTGTGTTTCATGGAGAGCAGAGTGTGTCTATTGAGCCTAAGAAAGTGAAAACCATGCATTCAATTACTCTTACATCTCAGATTCTTATTGTGGAATGTTTAAAAACCTATCTGATAAGCAAATGCCTACAAAGGTCCCAGGTAATTTAAGAAACTTTAAGTAGGGACCAGCAGATGGTGTAATGGCTATGTCGCTGGACTCCCATGTAGTCAATCACGGTTCGAGTTTTGGATCCAGTGGCTTAAACTCACACCAGGCACGTGTGCATGAGTGCCCAAGATCCCGAGAGGAGAATGGAGAAGGGATTGCGACGTGGCCATACCCACCTGGGGGGAGATTTCTTGCTTTCTGTCTCTCTGTCTTTCTGGCGAGCGCATGCGCCCTATGGCAAAAAAAAAAAAAAAAAACTTCAAGTAAACTGTTTAGGGGAGTATTGAGTTGGGTATGTATCAGGAAAGCAATGGAAACCCTCCGAAGCAAGGGTTTGGAGGAAACTCAGGATGGCAGTATAGACAGGGAAGCAAAGCACCTGGGCTGGATCAGAGGAACTGCCGAGGCCAGCAGGTTCCATAGTGGTTAAGGAGCTAGACTCCTGTGTGGTTGTCTGCAGTTCGAGTCTTGGACCCAGCAACTTGAAACTCACACCAGGGGTGTGTGTGTGTGTGTGTGTGTGTGTGTGTGCATGTCCAAAATCACAAGAGGAGAACGGAGAAGGGATTGCAGTGTGGCCATCCCCCAGGGGTGATTTCTTGCTTTCTCTTTCTTTGTCTCTCTTGTCCTGCCTATAGCCCCTTCACCCTACACATCCCTGAGGCTTCACATCACCCCACCATGCCCATACGAAAGGTTGCAACACCATTACTCCAGCTGGACCTAGTGGTACAACTGTCACTCTAGAACCTGAGCCCCCCTCAGTAAGCCACACCCCAGGGAACAGGTGGTCCAGCACAGGAAGCTGTCCCCAAGACCAAGGGAACCCCCAGGGCTTGAAGACACCAGCCTCTCTGGTGCCTACTTCCATGGCTGGCAATCCTAGCCACTTGACTGACAGGGCCACCTCAAGTCACATGAATCCCAGCCAGGACTCGAGAACTCCGGTTCCCCTGTGTCCACCACCACCACTGGTGATCCCACACACACACCCCCCCAACCTGCAGGACCTCTATGTAGGTGCTCAATCCACCCCACAAAGGCCCAAGGACTTCAGCCCTCCTGGAAACCCCTTCCTCCAGCAAAACCGTACTACTGCCTCCATAAACACTCACAGCCTCTTCCAGACACCACTGACATTGATCACAGTAGAAGAAATAACAGAGAGACAACACTAGTATTCCTGCCCAGAAACAAAGCTAAAGTACCCCTACTCAGCTGACATGATAGAACACACACAGAGAAGAAATCTCTTCCTATGAATTCTACTCCATAAAATCAGAAGGGGCAACAAGTCCAGATGGTGGCACAGCAATAAACATGTGGTGTTCTGTAAGGCTGACCCACAAGAGAAGGTTCCGGGTTTGTATCCAGAGATCTCCCTGAGTATGCTAGGCATGGGTATGCCTGTGATCCAGGGCTGGCTGAAGCTAAGGATGGATCTCAGTGTCAAGACCTGTTGGGGGTGCTGTTTCTGTCTTAATTACCTCTAGCTTTTTATTAAAGTGAGACACTAGTGACTCCTCCTTTCACTTGAACACATAGAGGTCATCACAGGGTTATCAATTGGCCTAATTTCTTTTTTTTTTTTAATATAGAGATTTTTTCTATAGGGTGTGTGCGCTCTCTGGAGAGACAGAGACAGAAAGACAGAGAGCGAGAAATCACCCCCCAGGGGAGATGGCCACACTGCAATCCCTTCTCCTTTATTCTCCTCTCAGGATTTTGGGTACGCATGCACATGTGCCCAGCATGTGTTTTAAGCCACCAGGTCCAGGACTCGACCCATGGTCAACTACATGGGAGTCCGGCGATGTAACCATTACTCCATCTGCTAGTCCCATTGTCAATATTGTATCTCAGGGAACAGAGATGCCTAGAAGAGAGTTGATGGGGTAGTCAGAAAACACGCACATTTACTGATTAAGTTATCTGTCTAATATGGGTATAGTTTGTGGTGCACCCCAAAACAATTAAAATAGTAATATCCAAAATCACTGACTATGTGGCCCAGCCACTGTGGTGCAGCTATGTGGCCCAGCCACTGTGGTGCAGCGGTAACATCGTACCATGCAAGGCTAAAAGTGTATAGCCATTCATGGGTTTAGACTCCCTGGTTGGCCTGAAAACATGCTGAGCATGCATATCCAGGATCCTGAGGAGCTAGGCGCTTGGGAATAGGGAATCTTGACCAGACAAGGGGATCTCTCTCTCTCTCTCTTTCTCTCTCTCTCTCGAGTGTGCATGAGCTCTCTATCATAAAAAAATTACTGATCACAGATCACCATAACAGATATAATAATAACAGAAATGTTTGAAATTACCAAAATGTGACAAAGACACAAAATGAGCACATGTGGTGGAAAATGATATTGTTAGACTATCTCCACACAGGGTTATCACAAACCTGGAAAAATACAATATTTACAAAGCACAAAAATGAGGTATCCCTGAATGTTAAGACATACACTTCTTTGTTTATTGCGGCACCAGTCATAATTGCTAGTGACTCCTCGATGTAACCTATCTTAAAAAATGTTTGAGCAGGAGGGAGGGGTTACCTTACACTGTCTGTGGTCTTGAATTATTACTTTGTGCTCCCCTTGGGACACTGCTGACTAGTTTGCTCTTGCCTCTCCCATGAGAAATTACTTGTGATTTCTCTGTGTTTCAGTATTCTATCAGGTGACCATTTTCCTGTTAGAAATATAATCCCTCCATCCCTGAAAACTGACCGAGGTGATGGATTTCACTGTTCCCCTAATGGAATGCTTTCCTGCAGTAGTACTCAATCGGTGGTTTCCAAACCCAGCACAGCATCGAAATGATTTGGAAAGCTTGCTCAAATGCATAGACCTAGTCCTCATCTCTGAAACCGAGTCCTCCTCACAAGTTCATCATTTCCTGGTGGGTGCCTGAATATCTTTATGTTTACATCCTACAGTGTTACTGATCATCAGCCAGATTTGGCAACCACGGTAGAGGATTTCTAAGGGCATCTGAAATTCATCCCCAAGAGGCTTGCAACTTTATACCCTTGGATTTGCTGAACACAATCCTGCATAGATTTGGTTTTTTACCAGATCATCTCCTATTCTCCTAATGTAAAAATTGGCAGTTAGGAGACCAGAAGGTGGCATGGAGGTTAAGGAGTTGAACATGGCTGAACACGGTTGGAATCCTGAACCTGGTGGTTTGCTTTCTCACTCTCTCTCTCTGTGTGTCTCTCTCTGGTCAAATTAAAACAAAACAAAACAAAAGAATAAGTAAAATTAAATAAATTCTTTTAAAAAATTGGCAGTTAGTACCTGGAAATAGCTGTTGTTGGAGAGCTGCTTTATATTCCAGACCTTTCCTACAATACACGGGTCTGCAAAGTGGAGGCCTGTGGGATAGATTCAGCTGAGATTCGAAAGCTTCAGCCAACCCTGAAAGAAAGAAAACACCTTACTCTACATGATTTCATCCCTCACCTCTGCAATAGGTGGTTCAAAGTTGTTTCAAAATTGTATTTAACACAACACAGTTCAGGCCACAGATTATACACTTTCTCCTGTCTTGACTTTATGTCAAGGTTTCCAAGGATCCACTATTAAAGATTCCATCTTTTGAACCTTGAATAATGTTTCCCCATGCAATATTATGCTCTCTCTTCTGTCTGAATAGCTCTTTGCTTGAACTGTAAAACTTTCTCTTTTAAAATTCTTTTTTTATATATAGAGAGATTTTTGCTATAGGGCACATGTGCTTGCCACAGAGACAGAGGGAGACAGAGAGACAGAAGAGAAATCACCTCCCAGGGGAATAGCCATGCTTCAATCTCATCTCCTCCTGTCTCCTCTCAGGATTTTGGGCATGCATGTACACACATCCAGTGTGAGTTTGAAGCCGTCGGGCCCAAAACTCAAACCATGATTGACTATGTGGGAGTCCAGCAACATAGCTATCATGCTATCTGCTGGCCCCTCTCTTTTAAAATTCTAATCATGTGTTTTCTGTCCCTACAGATGCACCTCCACTAACCTCAACTGAAATCAACATTATCCAACACTGACTCTTGTCTCCCAATATTGGTTTCATGTTAAACCGAGGTACAAGGTAATCATTAAGACGATCCAGTTAGTTAGAGGACTTTAAATAACACATAGTCAAACAAAAAATTCATTCCAAATTTTTCCTTCATAACTTCTTTTGTGGGATATATATCACCATTTACAAAATACCCGATTTTGACTTTTTCTCACCCAGAAAATCTTTCCATACCTGAAAATCATGGGGAGTTAGGGAAAACAAATTTCAGTGAGTGTGAAGAGCTCAAAGTTACAGAGAGTGAAGAAGGCTATGCAGATGCTAAAGAGGTAGAAAGACAGGGAGGAAAGAGCTCGTCCTCTCTTACCTTGATCTTTCTCCACTGGGTCCACATACATCATCCTTTGAACCCATTCCTCCGCTGTCAGGCAGCAAAGAAGCATGTCCTTCACCATCCATGAGTTGGGAGCCTGTGAGAACACTGCACAGCAGAACTGTTCTACTTTGATTACACAGAAATAACCATACAACTCTCCCATGCGAAATACATCTATGATTTTAGTCTTGAAGCCCACCTGTGGTTTGGAAGAGCAAAAATGAACAACAGGCAACTTGGAAACTGCTCCTGCTATTACGCTTTCCAAAGAGGAAGGATCAACATTTTCTTTTGCACATCCAAGGACTTTCTTACTCTTGTCATCCACTCCAATGAAAAGATAGCCTCCCCCGGTGTTTGCAAATGCAGGGACATACTCTGGAACTGTATTTTTTACATATTCTTGTATGTGTTTCGTGGAGAACTGCTTAAACTCTATGAATTGAGACTCAGGAAAAGGCAGGATTTGACCATATTCAAGCCTGTGGGTTTGGAAAATTTCAAAAGCAAGATCGAATTCAGAACTGTTCTGATACACAGTTTTGGACATTTTACTAGGTGGAGAGAAGTCATTAATCATTTCACATTCTGCATCCCGTCTCTTGGCCTTCAGGAAGTCGAAAGCGTTTCTTGAATCCATGATGAACACAGAGGTGCCCGATCTACGGTACAGCGAAGAACTCAAGCTGCAAATGCGGGGTCTGACAGAACTGTCTTCAGTGGAAATGTCACTGCTCCAGGACTTGACAAAAATGTAAAAACACCTCCCTTCTTGTTTGGTCTCAAAGAAAGCTTCAAAATGTGGGGACGGAACAAGCTCTCTCAAAGACTTTTCCAAATCTAACCCCATCTCCACAAGATGTTCATCGTTGTTTGCCAATTTCATCCAAATCACTCCTCCTCCTGAGTTTAGTAAAGCGCATGCGGCCTGTGTAACTCTCACCTTCTCTTGGTCTCTCTGAATTTTCTGCAATTTCTTCCTGTTTTCTTCTCCCAGAGTCACTTCTCCCACATTGATGACCAAGTCTGGATAACATGATTCCACCACCAGGGAGCAGCGATTCATCTTCACGTTGATTCTGTGGCTGAAACTATTAGAATATTTGTTTCACTTTGACTATGCAATTGATTGCTCCTTGCCTGCAATTCATCTGTTATACAATATTTAATCTGGGGGCCAGCAGGTGGTGTGGTGATTAAGGCAACTGGATTCCCATATGATCAACTGTTGGAAAATTTCAAAAGCAAGATCGAATTCAGAACTGTTCTGATACACAGTTTTGGACATTTTACTAGGTGGAGAGAAGTCATTAATCATTTCACATTCTGCATCCCGTCTCTTGGCCTTCAGGAAGTCGAAAGCGTTTCTTGAATCCATGATGAACACAGAGGTGCCCGATCTACGGTACAGCGAAGAACTCAAGCTGCAAATGCGGGGTCTGACAGAACTGTCTTCAGTGGAAATGTCACTGCTCCAGGACTTGACAAAAATGTAAAAACACCTCCCTTCTTGTTTGGTCTCAAAGAAAGCTTCAAAATGTGGGGACGGAACAAGCTCTCTCAAAGACTTTTCCAAATCTAACCCCATCTCCACAAGATGTTCATCGTTGTTTGCCAATTTCATCCAAATCACTCCTCCTCCTGAGTTTAGTAAAGCGCATGCGGCCTGTGTAACTCTCACCTTCTCTTGGTCTCTCTGAATTTTCTGCAATTTCTTCCTGTTTTCTTCTCCCAGAGTCACTTCTCCCACATTGATGACCAAGTCTGGATAACATGATTCCACCACCAGGGAGCAGCGATTCATCTTCACGTTGATTCTGTGGCTGAAACTATTAGAATATTTGTTTCACTTTGACTATGCAATTGATTGCTCCTTGCCTGCAATTCATCTGTTATACAATATTTAATCTGGGGGCCAGCAGGTGGTGTGGTGATTAAGGCAACTGGATTCCCATATGATCAACTGTGGTTTGAGTCCCAGACCCAGCAGCTTTGAAACTCAGGTACAAGTGTGTGTGTGCATATGTGCCCGAAATCCCAAGGGGAGAATGGAGGAGAAGGGATTGTGGCATGGCCATCTCCCCTGGGGGAGTGATTTCTCACTTTCCCTCTCTGTGTTTCTCTCTGTCTCTCTCATCTCCAGCAAGCACATGAGCCCTATGGCAACAATCTAAAAAAAAAAAAAAAATTAATCTGTGCTAATATGTACTGGGCAATGGCACTAGACCAGCAAGCAAGACAAGGCGAGTCCCTTCTCTTTAGGAACTGACTGGCAGGAAAGGGGGGTAATGAAATTAGAATTTACTAGCATATATGATATGGTCTATAAGAGTGGAAACACATTAAATGGGTATCTGAACTAATCTGGAGATGATGGTTCAATGAGACTTCTAGAAGAAGGTGACATTTAAGCTAAGACCTAATCGGTTCACTGGAATTGGCTGTGTGAAGCCATCAGCAATGAAGCATGGGAGCAGGTGGCACCACCAGAGGTAGACTGTGACACAAGAGTCTCTCTGTTTAGATTGGATTTCCAAAGACTATCAACCTGGGGGACGAGTAAAAGAAGTAAACATTGAAAAGATATTGCAAAGAAGAGTGAGTATGAAAAACCAAAGAGGTAGGAGAAAACCCAAGGTAATGAGATACTGAGGAAGCCCAGAACAAGGTTACCTGCTGAGGTTTTTTTTGTTTTGTTTTAAGGTTTTTGCCATAAGGCATATATGCTCACCTAAGAGAGAAGAAGGGATATGAGAAATCACCCCACCCGCTGCATGGCCACACTGCAATCACTTTTCCTCCATTCTCCTCTTGGGATTTTGGGCACACGTGCACATGGCATGATTTTTCTTCTTTTTTTTTTTAAATATTTAATTTCATTTCTTGTTATTATTATTTTTTAATTTGACCAGAGAGAGACTGAGAGAGAGAGAGAAATTGAGAAAGCAACCCACAAGGTCCAGGACTCAAACCACGGTCGGCCATATGGGAATCCAACACTTTTAACCACTATGCCACCTGCCAACCCCAAACCAGCCAGATTTTTAAGTTCTGGGGTCCAGGACTCCAACTGCATTAGTCCATGTGGGAGTGCAGAGCCTTAACCACTATACCAACTGTTGGCCCCCTGCAGAATTTTAAGGTATCTGATACTCCTGACAGGTGCAGCAAGATGATGACTGAAAAGTGCTCTTAGATGTAGCACAATTGAGGGAATCAGTGACTTGAAAAATGCTGTTCAGGGACCAGCAGTTAGTGTAATGGCTATGTCGCTGGACTCCCATGTAGTCGACCACGGTTCAAGTCCTGGACCCGGTGGCTTAAATTCACACCGGGCGCGCGTGTGTGTGTGTCCAAGATCCCGAGAGGAGAATGGAGAAGGGATTGCAGCATGGCCATCCCCCCGGGGGATGATTTCTCACTTTCTGTCTCTCTGTCTCTCTCTGTCTGTCTGGCGAGTGCACACGCCCTATAGCAAAAACCTCTCCAAAAAAAAAAAAAAAAAATGCTGTTCAGACAACTAAGGAGTTTGTGTCAGGAGGTAATATACCAAGGACTAAGGTCTTAGAATCAGTGAACATGGTTTGAATTCCAGTACTGTATTTTAATACAGTATTATAATATTAGCCTAGATATTTGATCTTTCTAACCCTGTTTTGTTATAGGATAATCAATGCTACTCCATCTTTTCTTTCTAGACTTATTTATTTTTAATTTTATTTATTATCATTATTCTTCAATTCTCATTAGAGAAAAAGACAGAGAGAAAGGGAAAGTGAGAAAGCAAGCTGGGATCTGAACCGTGGTCAGCCACGTGGGAGACCAGTGCCTCAACCATCACGCCATCTGCCGGCCCCAATGCTACTCTATCTTAATCAATACCCATCTACTTTAATGTGACTGTTACTATGAACATTGATTAAGATAATTCACACTAAGCATTTAACATTATGCTCTGGTTCGCAGGAATTCAGCGAATTAACCTATATTGTCATCATTTTGCAATGAGTTGAGGAATAAATGAGAGAGAAGGAAATAGGATTATAAAGTACAGACGATTTGTTCACTATATCAAGTTGTGAAAAGGGAGAGGCATATAGCTGAAAGAAGAGAAGAGGTTGGAGAATTTTTTTCTTCATATGGGAAAGCCTGAAAATATTCGACATGGATTGTAGGAGCCAGTAAGGAAATATACAAAGGAGGCAGGTGGAGAAGGAATGTGATCCAGACCACAGAAGGAAGTCAGGGCTTTTTTCCCTTGCCCTGTATACTTTTTTTAAAAGAACTATTTACTTAATCTTGTTATTATTATTTTTTAAAATGTGACCAGAGTAACAAAGAGAGACAAAGTGAGAATGCAAGACACCAGGTCCAAGTCTTAAACCGCAGTGGGTCATGTGGGAGTCCAGTGCCTTAAGTACCACGCCACCTGCTGGCCTCAGCCCCATATACTTTAATGTCAAAGCTATGTATTCTGATAGTTTTTCATTGGTATTTGAAATGGATGGCCACCCAACCCATCTGTTCACACCCTTTTGTAGGCAGAAAAGGCTCAGGGATCTCTCTCCCTATTTTCCCCGTTAGGTTTAAAGAAAAATTATAATCAGTGCCTATTGCAGATTCTTTGTAAGTTAGAAATGTTGATCTACATAAACATAAAAACTTAAATAAAATTTAAACAAGCCAGGGAACCAGCAGTTAGCATAATGGCTATGTCGCTGGACTCCCACGTAGTTGACCGCGGTTCACGTCCTGGACCTGGTGGCTTAAAACTCATGCTGGGCGCGTGTGCGTGCGTGCCCAAGATCCCGAGAGGAGAATGGAGGAGAAGGGATTGAGGCGTGGCCATACCCCCCTGGGGGGTGATTTCTCGCTTTCTGTCTCTATGTCTCTCTCTGTCTGTCTGGCAAGCGCATGTGCCCTATAGCGAAAACCTCTCAAGAAAAAAAAAATTTAAACAAGCCAATAAGGAATTGAGAATTCAGAAGAAAAACAAATCATAACACGTACCAAAGAACTTGAAAAATAAAAGCACCTGGTTCTGTTAGATTTCCAGGATAACGTTCTCAAGTCTTTAAATGTATTCAGAGTTCCCACCGACACAGTTCATACCACCAGCTGTCTCCTTACACAAGATCATGCCTGAAAACAGACATATATAGAGAAAGCAGATGTCAGTGATTGATTCAGACTTCCAAGTTTCAAATCCCAGATCTGTCATTAATTAGCTATGTGATTTGGGGGCTATTTGCTTAACCTCTCTGTACTTAACAAAAATAGTGGTAACAATAAAACCTACCTTAAAGAGTTGTAAGAAGTAAATGAAGTAATACATGTAAAGCCTTTAAAATGCTGTAGGATGGAGTCAGCAGGTGGCATGGTGGTTAAGGTGCTGAATCCCACATGGCCATCTTTGTGTTTCAAGTCCCAGACTGAGCACCTTGAGAAACACAACAGGCACATGTGCATGCATGCCCCAAATCACAGAGAATGGAGAAGGGACTGCAGCATGGCCATCCCTCTGGACAGTGAGTTCTCACTTTCGCTCCGTCTCTCTCCCTGGTAAGTGCACTCAGCCTACTGCAGAGAGCTTTAAATAAATAAATAAATAAATAAGCTATATGATCCAAAGTAAACTTATACTAGAGTTGTTAGGTGGACATCGTAAGACAAGCCCCAGAACCTAAGGAACGTGGGGATTGGGGGGAGGTGGTGTTGGACAGGAAGCTGTGTGTGTGTGTGTGTGTGTGTGTGTGTGTGTGTGTGTGTGTGTGTTGGGGGGGTGGGGAGGAGATGATTGCTAGTCCATGAGTAGCCAGGATAAATGCTTGAGAGTCATTAGAGCAAGTTGATCTTCTGGCCCCTCTGTGACTGTGGAAACGGATGGCAACAGTTCGGGCCTCAGATGCTGACATATGGAAAGTAAAGTTCAGGTCTGTGGAGGTAAAATCAGGCTAATATCCCGCACCTCTCCGTGGGCAAAGCATTGAGGTAAACTAGTGGGGGTTGGCTATCCTCTGGCAGATCCCGAACATAAACGAAAATGAAACTGAAGTGAACTTTTGGGGAAAAAGAAATAGGTTTTATCCTGTGTCGCTACGTGCTCCCCGGAGAGACGCGCGCGCGCCGCCTGCCGGATTTCCAAGCAGGGTGTGGGGAGCCCAGCGCCACAGCGGCTTCGTCACCTGCTGGCTCCTCAAATGATAAAGCTGTTTGTCCTTCTCCAATAGCACCCCCGTGTTTTACAGATCTTGTTAAGAGTGAGACATTTTCCTTCTCCTCTCTTCAAGATTAGGAATTTGCGAAGGGTGATGGCAATTCTAAATGTGCTTTTCAGCGCCTAACGAGGACGACCGTGTGCAGTGGCTGTTCAGTGGCACCTGCCGCACGTGTCTCTCAACGCTACAATTTCCAAACCTCCAGGACCCGAGGCCTGATCTTCACGTTGGCCTATTTGTCTCCCAGGCTCCCTCTCCGCAGGATCCCAGCGGGCACGCCCCGACTCCGGCCATTCCCGCGCCTTCCAGCAGAGCAGGTACACAAGCCACACCCGCCCAACCTCGCCACAGCCTGTCGACCCCTCTAGGCCCCACCGCCCCGTC